AGCAGTCGCCCAACCAACTGAGCCACCCAGGCGCCCTATCATTATCTCTTGTATCTCTTGGAGCCTAGGGAAAGTTTAGCATATTCTAGATTGATCTATGCCGAAGTGCCTTTCATAAATTACTACATGGAGAATAACAGGAGAAAAAGCAGTCTTAATTGGCACAATTGATGTCTAAATTAAGATGTGAACATATATTGAAACATTTTTTAAGCTTTAAAATGAATGGTTCTGTGTTGCTGGAACGTGCCCCCCCCCGCAAAGAGTTTCAGAGCCAATAGAATCTATAAATAGTGCAGGCCGGTTGTCTGTGGTAGATTGAGGAGAGCAGAATCGCCTGTCCTTAAGTGAAGGGGAAGTAGCTTTTTACATTTTTAGTAACTGAATTGTTGGCCAGCATAAAGGTAAGGGCCATGTGAGCAACTTATTTATAACTTTCCATAAAGGTATGTGTCTGCCTCAAGCAGAGAAACTGTCTGGGGTGCTTGAAATGTAAAAGTGCAGTAGAATCATTTTCCATACACAGCCTTTCTAGCTAGTTGGTGCAGTAAAGTGATTGTTCACATCCCTGGGGCTTTCAGAAAGAGGGGTGTCGATAGATTAGCTTATTAGCGTCGCCTCCTATGGAATAGAAGGGACTGAGGCCATTAAATGTGAATCTGTGGTTTTATGTAGTGAAAAATGTTCAGATCCAATTCCCGAGGGTATTCAGGACATATAGTTAAGCTTGGTTTAACCCCTTGGGTGTGGTCCCACCTGTTATACCCACGTGGTCTACCCACAATTTGACAAGGTTCTTGTCAAAATATTTCATGGATATAAAAGCACTTTATTTTTTTCACAGGTTTAGTTCAACTATAAGTAGTTTTTTTTTTTTTAAATAAAAAACATAGACTCAGACTGAATTATCTGATAACAGTGGGAGAAGGGAAGAAGTATAAAACATTTTCATGGCATCCTGTAAAGAGTATGTTAAACCCTTTTGGTAGATGCCAGAAAATGGAATCCGTTTTTACGTGTTAATTAATGTCATCACGCACATCAAGAGTATATTACTTAGAGCCAGGTTTAACTCTAAGGATGAAATTTTTATAATCATAAATACCCAAGTGAAAGATGTTTTTGGCCCTCCTTTGTTACTCATTGTCTATTTTCAGAGACTTGAGTTTTTCGGAATATTCTGTTGACCATTTAAAGGATCTGCATATATGGCTAAAATGTAAACTTTGGCTTTTGTGCCAATATTGTGGCTCTGTTTAGTATTTGGGCAAGTTGTAATAAGTGGTAAATGGCTCATTAACTATATTGGAGGCCTCATCGCAGCACTAATTTCAAATCGTGCTGCGTTTACAATTTACATATTAAAAAACATTCACTTGATTTCGTTCAGGGACAAAGCTGACATCCTATATAAGCATTACTCCACACAATCCTATTTATTGGTCCAATTATTTCAATTGAAAGATGCTGGTTTACTGCCTCTTAGTCTATGTGAACAATTCTCAGTGAAACTGTTAGAGATCAGTTGGACGGTAGTGGCAGAATAACCTCACAGGGTTTCGATTCACTTTTAATTTTAAGTCCCAGGATTAAGGATCATTTATAGTATAATGTAACAGTGCAGGCAAATATAGTTTCCCTTAATGCCTTTCTGATATTTTGGGGAAAGAATGCTTTTATGTAAAGCATTCACTTATGAATTGCATGACTGCCTTTTCTCACTATAAATTTCATTCACATTTCCTTCCTTCTCCCACGTCCTTAAGAGACAGGACAGCATGCAGTGTTTTTGCTTTGTTTTATTATTTAAAAATTTTTTTGAGATGTGGTTTAAGGTAGTTCTTCAGGATAGATGTCAAGGTAACTAGTTAATACTGTTTGAAAATCAGGCTCTTAATTAAAAATGCTTAATTTGTGCAAGAAAACTACATGTTAAAATGAATTTGGAAAGATTAGATTGGAATTGCCTCAAATTCAATTAAGCCACACTGCATGGACGTGCTGGGAATATCAATACAATCACTGTAAATTTTGTACAAACTGATTTGTTGCATTATCTTGCTCATCTAACATACGGTACTTTTTGTGTCCATATTGCAGACGGCAACTCCAAACTAACATGGCAGTCAGACTGTGTGATGTGGCTTCTCTGCTTAGAAGTGGTTCGTGGGCAGCAGAGCCTTGGACTGGGGTCTGTGGGATTTTTCTTAAATTCTGTAGGCTACTTTTTTTAGCATGTTGCAGGAGTGCTGAGGCCATACCAAACACTTGAACTTTTCATTGGGCATACTAATTATTCTTACTTTTAACCTATTGCGGTATGGCCATCATTAGGATTTAAAGCACATTGCAATTTTAACCATAGTGGTCTATGTAGCATCAGAACCATGCTTTTGTATGTAACTTTTTATAATCTAAATTAGGATTTAGTGCAGACTCAAAACAGTGACAAGCTTTAAAAAAAAAACAAAAACAAAAAAGTTTTGGTATGGTCTGAATACTAAGTTACCGTAATTCTTTACATTCTGTTTACTATGTATTTTTTTGGTTACTAAATTTTGAAGTTATTTACAATTCCTGATGCTCAAAAAAAAAATTTTGTTGAAATTGTGAAACTGGCTGAAAATTATTTGCCCAGTAACTGTTGAAAGAGTTTGCATTCTGTGAACAGTTGTGTTGAGCCTATCAATGGAATATGCATTATTTGTAAAATATAGCACATTAGTATCATTTTATTCTGAGCAGATGGTCCTATAGCTGAGAGATGCTGTAATTTTCAGCACACACAGCTTACTGCAGCTGTTCACTTGAATGTTGGCTTAGGAGCTCATTCTTGCCACCTGAACATGGAAATAAATGTGCAATTAAGTGAGGAGTGTTTGTTGTCCTTGCTAAATCCTGCTAATTTCAGTCAATGAACACTTTATATTTCACATGCCATCCCAACGAGTTAAATCCATATCTCTTATTTGGGGTTCATATAGTTTCTACACATGCCCTAACTTTTGAATAGTGATTTGTTTTAATTGGCCTTGGCCACTCTCATCTTGCCACTCGTTGTTTTCAGAAGTGCTGGGCAAAGGTTAATCCCATAAAAGTTTTGCGTGGAAAATGACCCACAGCTAATATTCTACAGACTGGAACAGTTACGCTTTATTAGGAAATTTGAAAACTCCTTTCTCAGTTTCAGATAAATTTGTTAATTATAATAAAATGCATATCTTGAATTGTTTCGATTTTTTTCCTTGCAGATTTCTAAAGATTTCTTTATTTTACCTTGCTCCTTTTAAGTGTTCTCTAAGAACACTTACCCAAGAGAGGTAGCATGCAGCTTTTAGGAAAAAAAATACCCATTTCTTTGAAATGCAGTCATGGAGGGTTATAGGTTGTTTGATATTTGATAAGTAGTTTGGATTTTGTCTATTTTTTTTAATCACGATAGCACGGATTCTTGCCAGTCTGACCAGTCTCAATCTATCCTATGCTGCCGCCTTTTATAAACATCTCTTGGCAGTAGAGATTTCTTCCTGTATGCTTATCCACTGTTGTGCCCTTTTATTTTTCTTAGGCAATATGCTTTTTAAAAGACTTTTTTCTCTTGTAACACTCTTTCCCTCTACTTTGCTTTTTAAAAATTTTGCCTCAAATTCTTTGCCTTTTATATGTTAGAGAACTTCCCTAAAACTAGCATTCCATCAATTCAGAATTGTCAGTTTTGAGAAATAGTTCTTTGTGGAGATGAGAGCTGTATTGAATGAAATATGAAGGATAATTTGTTTAGTGATGCTTTGATTTTTGGATTCCCCCACAATCTTGGCTGTCCAAATATATAGCTATCGGAAGATGGTTTTTCGAAAATTTGGGTCTGTGGTTTGTGACTCTTTTGCTCAAAGGGCGTAGCATTGATTTTTAGGAAACTAGATCCAAATTTGCTTAATAAGTAGGTTTTCAGAGTAGCCTGAACAGTTGGAGGCCATTTTCCCCAAATCTGCTGTTTATCCCGTATTTGGAGTTTATAGGTACCTTATTACTTGCATTTCAACAGGCTTATGTGCTCAAATGAAAATTCCTTGGGCTGGTCTGTTTGCAAAAGTTGAAATATTTATGTAGTTGTTTTGGTGAACTGGATAAGTTTTTGTTTTGGGTTTTTTTTTTTCCCATTTAAAGTTAGAATCAAGGCAAAATGCCATTATGAATTGTTTGGGGATTCTATTTTGATGCTCTAGATCAGTCGCCTTGTTGGTGATCTTTAGCTGCCAAGATTGACAAGAATGGCTTGTTAGATTCTACAAGGTACACTAAGTACTCATAGCTTCTTTTCCAAGTTACCCTACAAATCCTTTTCATGCCCTAACATTTGACATCTGATATTTTTCTTATTTCTTACCAAGAGAAGAGGTATAAGATATTGTCAATCAAAAACATTTTCAATATGTAACCAAAACAGTACATGTTGACAAATTTATATTTTTTAAAGTACTCTTGCTCCTTGATTTTAAGTTAATGGATGTCTGTCAGTTTTAGGATGTCTGTTTAGTTTTCTTAGGCTAACTGAAAATCTCTTCAGAGTTAGGAAGACCATTTTTTGGTTTGTCTTTTTGGTAGCATGTTAAGCACTTCTGTTTTGTAGTATGATTTTAGTCAGGGTTTAATCCGGTGCCCTTTGGTACTAGATTTCCTCAAGTCTTTGGACACCACAGGTGAGTAAGGGTATGTGAATAGACCCCAGAATGCGGTTCTAGAGAATGTTTAACATTTACAGTGTGCTTATTTATGTGCATGTATGGAATATGTATGTGAAAGTATAATTGTGAAATTAAATTGACTAGCTTAATGTATGAAGTATAAATTAACGTAGATGTTGCACTTTTTGTTGAAGCTTTATTGTAATTTCAGCAGAACGACTCGTATTTAGTGACAAGTATTTACATTCTTGGTTGGAATCTCTAATAGTTTGTGAAATAATGAATTCTGACATTTCTTGTTTTCTCTGTTTTTAGCAGGTAATTGCTGCCATGGAAACACAACTGTCTAATGGGCCAACTTGCAATAACACAGCCAATGGTCCAACCACCATAAACAACAACTGCTCTTCGCCAGTTGACTCTGGGAACACAGAGGACAGCAAGACCAACTTAATAGTCAACTACCTTCCTCAGAACATGACACAGGAGGAACTAAAGAGTCTCTTTGGGAGCATCGGTGAGATAGAGTCCTGTAAGCTTGTAAGGGACAAAATAACAGGTATGCAGTTTTATACAGGTTACTCACCTTTAAAGGATTTGTGTTTCACGGTGTGAGAAAATAGTAAGTTTACTGCCTGTAGATCATTCAGTGCTGCAGTTTTACCCATCTAGGTATTCTCTCTGTTACTGAATACATCAGCAGCACGAAACTTAGTTTTAAGAGTTTTGTTTTCCTTTTAAAGCATAAAATATTTTTATGGGCAGTATATATTATAACTAGACTTTTATATACCCTGTACTGTACAATAACATCTCTGAAAGTGGTTTTAGAAGTCTATGTATGTCTGGGACAGAAAGTGTCATGTTGACCTTTAGTTTTTAGTTCCCTGTGCTTATGTGATTTAGCATTTTAACAATGAGATATAAGAAGCATATTCTGTTTGGGAGAAGAAGAAACCTCTTAAAATGTCTTTTCCTTGAAGTCTGTATAGTTCTGTTTATAATGTATGTGACAGAGTAAATAGTAATATTCACATTGTCAATGTATAAATACTTGCACTGCTATCATTTGAATGTAGCAAGATCTTATGTTCTGTTCCTTGACAAGGAAAGGAGAAAGTGGTGTATGAGTATTCCTCTTATCATAAAGATAAAAATGAAAGGATGGGTAATTTGACCTTTGATACTACATTTTGAATATTGGGTAGTGGAAAATATCCTTAGTATTTTGTAAGATTCAGCTAAATATTTAGAATAAGCCAAAACCTAATTGAGCATGTTCTTGGGATACAAGGGTTAATGTTTCCTGTAGGAGTTGCTCTCAAACACTGAAAATATATGAAGTTAAGTGTAGGAAGACTAACTTTCTCATGTTATGGTTAAATTTGAGTGATGTATATTAAATTGCTTTACATGGCTTATAACTCAAACTATAAAAACTAAATATTTGAAATGGGCAAATACCTAAAGGCAGTGAGAAGAGTTTGACCAAGAATCTGAACTTTAGTCCCATGACCTTGGACAAGTCAGGTCTTGGCTCCAGGTCTTCCTTGGTAAGATGAGGTAGAGGGCAAAGAAAAGGGTCACACTAGGTGATTTCTGCAATCATTTTTACTTTATTTGAGATAGTGTCTTTACCTGTTCTTTTATCAAGACAGTAGGGCTTACTGCCTCCAGGGTGAGTGAGTGCATTCTTAGAGCTATCACCTCAGCTTGGCCTCACAGTCCTGGTTCCTTGAGCTACAAATTGAAGCTCACAGAGAGAACATACTTAAATCAAGTAAAAACTAAGTAAAACATAGTTGTCATCAATCCATACTGAATAATTACATTTTAACTAGTTATGTTATTTAGATATTCACCACAATATCATCAGGAAGATTTTTTTTTTATACTGATAATCAAATGGAGAGTATTTTTCCATTTCTTTTTCCAAAATCGGTGTCAGTAGCATATGTAAAATTTATAGACAATTTTTGAGAAATTGAAAAATGTAGAGAACAGATGGCTCTTAATACATTTGTCCTGACACTAAAATTTTATTACTATCTTTTTAGCAAAACCGCTTCTTCTTATGTGAATTTTGCAACCTCTTTGACATAAATGACTGTGTGATAAATGGTATAAAGGCCATGACATCAATGATGTGATTTCTGGTTTGATTGCTTAGTAACTGTCTCTACCATAAAAAAAAAAAAGATTCTTGAACTAGATATATAAATGTTGAATTTTTTTGTTATGATACTGTGAGTAGATAAAAATATGAAGCAAATCTTACATCCTTTGTACTAGGCATCTTCCACAGAAAACATTTCAAAGATTTTTATCTTTCATCTCTAGTTGATCTTGAATTATCTTATTCTTTCATAAGTCTTTTACTAGAGCTGTTTTATGGTGCAATAAATTTGAATTCTGTGTCTTCATACCCTTTGCCTCCCTGTCTTTAGTGTGATAAACAGTGGTAATGGAACCACAGTGCATGGTAATCTGAAGTATGTGGTTAGATACCGGCAAAGTGCATTAATATTTGCTGTCCATTTCCTTTATCCCCCACCATTGTCTTTTCAGCGAGAGGGAGCCAGTGAAGTTTCCCACCATGGTAAAATTTCTGTTTAAAACCTCTGGTAAGCAAATGGAGTACTAAGAAAATCCACAGTGGGCAGGAGGGTCAAAAGATGTTTTCTAAGCTTCATTCCAAGAGACACAGTCATACTTGTTCTTTAGAGTAAATGTTCCATTGACAGGCAAGTTTGAGAAATGCTGCCCTTTATAGTTTCCTATTTAAGAGCCAAACTGCAGGTCATTAGCATATTAGAAACCATACATTAAAATCCTGCAGTAAAGAAACCGGTTTTCTGGCCTTATTTGACCACAGAACTCATTTTGGGGATATCTCCCCAATACTAGATTTCTTTCTTTCTTTCTTTTTTTTATTTTAAGATTTTTTTTTTATTTGACAGAGAGAGACAGCGAGAGAGGACACACGAACAGGGGGAGTGGGAGAGGGAGAAGCAGGCTTCCCGCTGAGCAGGGAGCCCAACGCGGGGCTCAATCCCAAGACCCTGGGATCATGACCTGAGCTGAAGGCAGACGCCTAACGACTGAGCCACCCAGGTGCCCCTCCAATACTAGATTTCCATTGAGCATATAAAAGCTTATGCTATGAAAGCTTTTGAAATCATTTAACAGATTATCAGACACTCCTAAACTCTTCTGTAACCTGTTTATATCAAAGTATGAGCATGTTTCATAAATGAACATCCATGATAATGAACTATGTATTATAAAAAAGTGAGTAGGTAAATAAGAATACAGAGGACCTCTTCTAATAACCTTGTTTTGACATAGTCCGCTGACATCTTATTCTTAGTATGGGTTAAAATGGTGTTCAGAGGGTCTGACTTAGTTTCAAAGCATAAATTTAAATATATATATTTTTTAAATTCTGAGTTTCTTAGCGAATATTTGTATTGAACAAAATATTATAGTAAATGGTAGATTTCCAAAACTGGATTTTGAATAGTTGTACTTTGCCAAGTGGGCATATCTTCCTAAGAAGCTACTATTCACATATCTAGAAAGATTGAATTTGTGAGGATTTGGGCCCTGCCCTGTGGTGTTTAGCATTAGCCAGTTTATGTGGTTTCTCAGCTCACATTTGTAGGGTCAAGTCTGAGTTCCTTGGTCTAATTATCCAATTTATCCTACCGCCTGGGGAGCTACCAGGCCAGCTCTTTGTATTCTGATTTTGTAGGAAGTGAGCATTAATTTTCTCGGTTATAAGAAAACTATGAGATTACTCTTTGGGAAGAACATTTAAATTGCTCTTTTTCATTTTTCTTAAATCTTTCCCTGCTTAAATAATGCCGAATTAGGAAACTGTATCTCAGGTAAAAAAAAAAAAAAAAAAAAAAATCTAGTTAGGAAAGTATGTGCCTCTTTCCGAAGTCCTGAAAGAGAGTATATAATTTTTAGATTGTGTGTTGTTGGCAAATTAATGTCACTATTTTGATAGAATGAAGATTAGAGAAATACGTTAAGACACCTCTTCAGTAGTAAATATAGTAAGCTTCTCTTTGGCCTAAATTCTATTTATTATGTTGTTTTTCAGGCCCTTTCTTTGGGCTCATGCCCAGCTTTATGCTTCATCCCATTTCCTGTCTATAGACATTCATCACGAGAAGCTACTGCTGCTTGTACAGTTCAGCTGATATCGGTCCATCTCTTTGAGTTTATGCATTTTAGAGTCCTTGACACCTGCTGATGCTGCATTCTAGAGGAGTGAAATGGATTTTATGATGCAAGGAATGAGTAATAGAATGTTAGAATCAGAAACGTCCTTGAGGTGACCTTAGCCAACTCCCTCACTTAACAGGTGATCTGAAGCTCAGGTTTGTTTAAATGACTGAATAGTCCAAGACCACATAGCTGTCAAGTGGTAGAGCAGGGACCAGAATTCTGGTTTTCTGCTTCTTCCCTGGGATATTTCCCCTTGCCTCTTGTTAGAGGCCAGAACTCTTTAAAAATTAACCCAGGACTGGGCGCCTGGGTGGCTCAGTTGGTTAAGCGACTGCCTTCGGCTCAGGTCATGATCCTGGAGTCCCGGGATCGAGTCCCACATCGGGCTTCCTGCTCGGCGGGGAGTCTGCTTCTCCCTCTGACCCTCTTCCCTCTCGTGCTTTCTGTCTCTCGTTCTCTCTCTCTCAAATAAATAAATAAAATCTTTAAAAAAAATAAATAAAAATAAAAATTAACCCAGGACTAACTGATGAATTTGTAGTGAGACAGATAACTTGTACAGATCCACTGAGGGGCATCTTTTGGTGGGTGTGTCTTCAGAAGGGGAATGAGAGTTTTGAGAGTCAAGGACCGACGGATACATGAAATGAAGGAGAACATCCCTGCCTCTCTACAAACTTTGTAGCCTGTAGTTGTGAATTTGGATATTCTAGCTCAGTGATTGCTAAATCTGGCTGCCCATCCTCATGTGAAGGAGTTTTTAAAAATACAGATTCTGGAGGCTTTGGGAATCTGTTGTCAGAAAGCTCCCCAGGTGATTTTGAGGAGCAAGCAAGCAGTTTTGGGAATCAGCCTTTTGAGGTATAGTCAGTGGAGTTGCCTGCATTGGAATCACTTGGGATGACCACCAGAAATGCAGCTCTCTGGGCCTTGCCCAGACCTACTGAATCAGAGTCTTTGAAGTAGGGCCCAGAATATTCCATTTGCCTGGGAGTTATCCACTACTTTTCCTGAACATTTTGCAGGGAGATAGAACCAGAATATTCCAAGTTTACCTGAACTCTGGCTGGAGATGGGTGGGAGAGTTGTTAGGACTTCAGTGCCTGATCTACGGCAAACTGAGTTTCAGGGGCTGTCCCCTCCCCAGCGGTGGTTTCTGATGTGTTAACTCCTGGGGTGCAGGACTAGAGATGTTTAGTCGTTAGGCTCTGTATTGAACACCTGACCTGTCCCTGAAAGGGTGTGTGTGTGCACATGTGTAACTGGTTTTCAAAACTCCAAGATAACTTGTTCTGTCATTGTTACTTTTCCTTTCTTCTA